TATGACAGTCCTCTTTGTCGCAATGACACTGTCCAGCAGGGACTTCTAGGACAGCATGTGGTCTGGGTCATCCTTGAACAGGGAGCTACGGAGACTCCACCTGGCCCACCCCCCCAGTGCACCCCCCGTGTCCCTCACCCCCCTACCCCCGCCCCCCGCGTCTGATGCCAGGTGGCCACCCAGTGGGAGAGGCTATTTCTGTGTCCAGGCGCATTTCCAGAGCCAAGAGAGTGTTTTCGGAGTCCAGACAAGAACTGTCCTGTAACTGACAGCTGCGGAGCAGACAGAGCCCAAGCTGGGTACAGATTAGCCACCCGAGAGCTGGCTGAGGCCGTGCTCCCACGCTGGCTGTCAGCTAGCGGGCCACCTAGCCTGGCCTCAGAGGCAGGCTCTCCTGCCGAGCTGGCACACCTGCCCCTCGTTGACAGCTTGGTGGCTGGGCTCCGGGCAAGCCATGGGGACACTCCTCCCACAGAGCCGCGGGGGTAGCCAGCTGGCTCAAAGCAGTCCTCTGTTTACAGACTCACATTTTATTTCTACTAAAATTTGAAGTCCTGATGGAAATTCCACCAGTACTGATTTAAGTAACTTTTCAAAACCCAAAGTATGTAACTCATTATATGTTTTACAAAGAACTTGAAGGGAAGCATTTGCAGGTAACCGCAAAAAGAATGTTTCAAGAGACAGAAATGGTAACTGCTCTGACTTGATCACTACACGTGACCTATATGTCCTGAATGATTGTGCTGTCACACTATTTGCCACAAGCAGGTACAACTGTGTCAGTTAAACAAATTATTTAAACTTTTAAAACTCTGGGCACCATGTTAAGTATATACCACCAAGAGTTTACTGCTTTTCTGAACCCTCATGACAGTGTTCTGAATACGACTCTACTTGGGTCCTGGACAAATTAAAAAGCAGCTGCTTAATATAACAGGATGCAAACGACAACACAATAGTAGCAAAAATAGAAAAAACAAGGTAATTTTCACCTTTTTAAAAATTATTTTTATTCTTTTGGTACAGGGTCTCCACTACACAGTTGGGACTTGTAGTGATCCTCCTGTCTCAGCCTCCCCAGTGCTGGGATTACAGGCATGCACCACCACACCCAGTTTCGGGGCAGCCTGGCACACCCAGGGCTCAGCATGCAGTACCAGGAATCAGGCTTGGGGACCTTGCACTTGCCAGGCAGGCGTTTAGACTGCCAAGCAGCCTCCCCAGCCCTCATCTTTGTCTTAAGTAGACTAAGAAACTCTACAGCCAACTAAATGCAACCTAAGGAGCTCTTAACCTCTCACAAATGCAGAACTCTAGCCTTTTACATTGTCTCTTACATCACTTTCACTCTCCTTAAGAAAGGTTTCAGATCAGTTTCTTCACACTTCACCTGTGTGAAAAAACAATGCTGCTTCTGCTGACTATGAAATAAACCCTCAAAAATGGAGGTGTAAGTGGAATTCACTGAGAACCATAATTTGAGATGACTTTAAAGATAATCAAATTTTTGTCACTTCCAAGCCCTTAAGGATCTTCTTACTCAGTGTTTGAACTAGCCTATACACATGAGGACAACTGTCAAAGTCCCAGGGGCGATGGATTTCCCACTGAAATCCTGATGTTCAAACTCTTGGAAGTTTTATTTAATATTTACAGTACTATGCATTCAAGATACCTTTTTGCCCAGCACTCAGGAAGCTGAGACAGGAGGATTACCTTGAGTTTGGGGCCAGCCTGGGCTACACAGTGAGTTTGAGACCAGCCTGAACTGCTTCAGGAGATCCTGTTTTAAAAACTTTTTTTTATATTGAATCTGCTCACTAGAAACCAAGTTTAAGGTATGGAGATATAGTGAGATAGCTCAGCAGACTAAGTGCCTGCTTTGGCAAGCACAATGACCAGGGTTCAATCCCTGGTCCTGCATGCCACACTGCCTTGCTCCTGGAACATGCTGAGCCAGGACCGAGTCCAGGCATGATGGCACACCTGTAAGCCCAGCGCTGGGGAGGCTGAAAACAGGAGGATCAGTCCAAGCTGCATAATGTGACCCCGTAACAAATACATAAAATGAAGAAAAAAAAAAACAAAAAAAAAAAACGGTATGGGGATATAGGTCAGTAGGTGGGACACAGACCCTGCATGTGCTAGACTCTACATTCATACACAATACCTACCTCCCAAATTTTTAAAAGTAGAAACTATTAGTACGCATCATTTTGCCTATTGGGTAGCCCTCAATATTCCATGCAGAAAATGAAAACTTCTGCATAAAAGAAAATAAGCACAGGAAATGTACGCGTGTATGCCCTGGATCCACTAACTTGATGGATAAAATTTAAAGTAAGTGCAGCGAGGTGGCACGGGCCTACAATCCTGGCACTCTGCAAGGCACACATATGGTGACAGGATGCCAAGTTGGAGCCCAACTGGGGCAATTTATCTAGACCCTGAACGAAAATGTTTAAAAGTTGCTGGGGATGTGGCTCCATGGGAAGGCACTGGGTTCAAATCCCAGAACTGTAAGAAAAAACAAATTAAGGAGAGCATCATTTAACTCCTAACCCTGCCTGGCACCCTCCTGGACCCCTCACCCTGCCATCGCCTCCTGGACCCCTCACCCTCCCACTCTGCACCTGCCCACTTTTGTCCACCCTACTAACTGTCCCAGCGCTAGCGCACCACCAGCAATAAATCTCTTTCCAGCTCTTAGGCACTGCTGCCCTGCTGAAATGACAACTTTAGGAGCTCTCTAATTATTTCTACAGTTTCCATCTATACTGAGCTTGTTCCCCAAAACATCTACAAGAGTGTCTTACCACTCTGCTCAGCAGACAGTCATAAATTCCGTGCTAAGTTTTTGACATGCTGCTCTCAAAACAAGGCCTCCAGCAGCCCCCTGAAGGCAGATTGGATCGGACACCTCTTCAGCACAGGGTAACTGGGTCACACCCCTTCCTTGCCTCTTCAGCTAGACTGAAGGGACTCACAGGAGGTTACTCTTTAAAAGGACCTTTAGAGAGGGCGTACTCTGAGCTCCACATCTGAAAACGAACTAGTGGAGGCTCATTAATCTTTCATAGCCCAGTCAGGCTGGCATATCTAGGTTCAAATCCCACCTCTAGCATGTCTGCACTGTTAGTCTATTTTATCTGCTACAAAACATACAGCGCTTCTTAAAAAACTGACATAAACATCAAATTACACACACACAGGCACTTTCACTCTTGTTAGGTGGGATCCTTTCTACAACAATTTTTTTATTTAGTTTCTTCCTGGTTAATGTCACATCTCACTGCTAGATCCAAAGCAGGGCCTTATTTCCTAGCCTTGCAAGTAGTCCCCAGTACAGGATACAGCAGCTTTTGTGTACCATAAAGCACGCGAAAGGTGCGTTCAATCTCTGTTATCTCTAGTTCACCAAATGTATTAGTCGTCAGTTCCCCAAAATGCCCAATCACAGCTGGGTGTGGTGTTCCCAGCACTCTGGAAAGCTGAATCAGGAGAACCCCAAGTTCTAGCAATTTAGCAAAATCGTATTTGAAAAAGCAAGGGGAGGGGTGCTGAGGACACAGCTCAGTGCAAAGAAAGACCCTAGGGTCAACCCCTAGTACAAAACAAACAAAACAAAAACTCTCTCCACGCCCCTGTCTCACTCACACAACCTTCTCTCTAGAACTAAAAGCTGGAAATAAAGAAACACTGCCACTCTCACATTTTTTGAACAAAGTTAATATCTTTATCAGAATATTCAGGCAAACTGTGACTGATGGAAGGATGGGATTCGGAAGGATTCTGCCTCCCAAGGGCAGAACTGCTTATGATTTCTGGCAGCAACTCCTTCAATGAAATGACTCACCTATAACAAATTCTGACAGAAAGTAAACCAGAAACTCACTGGTGTGTTGTCAATGAAGTTGAACATTGCATTTCACTGTTTTATGCAAGCAAACGGCAACTAATGGGATTAACTTGGCTCAGTAACAGGTTCCACCAGCACAGGTAATGAATATTCTTAAGGGGGTACTATACATAGTGCTCTTGCAAACACAGTTTACTAGAAAAACAGGTGCCAGGCCAGAAGTGTCATTTCTTTCCTCTGAGGGGGCACTGGTAAAAACACCAGTGAGAGTGAGAGAGAATAAGTAAGATCTCGGATTCCCGAAGACACGGATCCCGGATATGGTAAACGTGGATTTCTTTCAAAGAATAGCTTTTCCTAACAGCTATACATAATCAGCATCTTGTATCACTCACACAAATACCAGTTAAGCCACCCTGGTGCCCTGGGAAAAGAAGCACAAAACACAGAAAATCCCTGCTGGCTTCAGCTGTCCCCTCCTGCAGGGCTTGACAGCGCGACCGAGGCACCCGAACACCCGCCCTCGGCACCCTCCTGCTGCAAAAAACCGCCAGGGCTCCCGAGCCAAATTCTAATGTCCCTAAATTCAAAACCGCGAAAATGTGAACCCTGCAAAGCAAACTGTAAGGCGCGTCAGAACTTTGCTTTCCTCCCCTGGTGCGCGCTTTTGAGATGCTAGACTTTACTGCTCCCGCTCGCTACGCGCCACCCACCTGGAGGGGCTTGGGGAAATGAAAAGGAGGCGCGGACCGAAGGGAAGCCTGATGAGTGCTAAAGATCTCCGCCGTTTTCCCAGTGCGCGAAATGAGGCACCCACCAGCCCCATCGTAATTAGATGCAGATCCAAAGAAGAAGGGTCCTCTCTCATCGTCCCCACCCCTGCTTAAAAGGAATCACAAAGTCTTGCACCCAGCTCAAGCTGGACATCTGGGCCCTCTCGGGTGAGACGAGGCCCGCTTGCCGGCCGTTGGAAACGTGAAAGGAGAAAGTGTCCCCGCCGAGGATATGCCGGGGCCGGGCGGGAACCGGGTCGAGGGCAAGAACATTGAGGGTGGCAGCTCAGCCCCGCGCTCGGCCGGTGGGCTCGGGTAGGGTGTGGGCGCCGAGGCCGCGGAGCGGCGGCCCGAGTTCTACTTACATAACGCTTCAACTTTTTCTCCGGAGGGGACTTGCGGAGCCACCCGGAGCAGACCACTTCGCCGCCGCTCATGGTGCGCGCCTGGCGGGCTCGGGGCCCGGCGGCTGGGGGATGGTGGGCGCGCTCCCGACCTCGCGGTCCCGGGACCCGGCTCTGCCCGACGGCGCGCGCCGCGCTCCCCTCCGCAGGTCCGCAGCTGGGCTCGGGGCTCGCCGGCAGCCTAGCTCGGCTCAGCGGGACTCTGCCCCGACGCGGAGCCGCAGCCGCGGCCCCTAGCGCTCCGCCCCCTGGAGACGGGACCTCCCGGGAGCGCCTCCCGGAGCCGCCACGACGCGGCACACGCGTGTCCAGAGCTAGAGCTCCGCTCCGGCTCGCCCGCTCTCGGCTCTCGGTTTCGGTGCGCCCGGCGCGGTCCTGTCCTTCCCTGTCCTCCGGGGTGGGTGGGTCGCTCCTCCGCGGCCGGAGTACAGGAGAAGCGCCGAGGCGCTCGCGGGCAGGGACGCTGGGCAGCGCGGGTCCGTAGATGGGGCGCCGAGGCACCGGGCGGCGCTGGGCGCCGGGAGGTCGCGGTCCGGCTGGAGGGTGGGTCCGCGATCGCGGCCGCCGAGGAAGGCGGGCAGCGCGGAGAACTGGGCGCTGGGCGGCTCCACTCGGAGAGGGAGCCGCTGTCCGGGCCCCTGCTCCTCCCCCGCCGCCTCCCCACCCCCACCCCGGGGCGCACGGCAGGTCCCGAGCGCGGCCGGGCTTCGCCCCTCCTTTTCCAGGGCCCTTCCTCCCTTGCCTCCGCCCCTTCCCACGTTCGGGCCGGGCTCTGTTTGCGCCCAGACTTTCTCTGAAACTCCGCCACTGCACTTCCAGCCAAAACAACAAGAGCCAGGGAGGAGGGGACGGAGAGGGGCGGGCGAGAATGGGAGTCCGAGGCACCCTGGGATCTGTAGTCCCGAGCCCGAGAGGGGTCCTCGCCGCCCGCGGCCCCCGACCGGCTCGCGTCCGGGCGAGGCGGCGCAGGCCTCCACTAGGGCAGCGCCCCTGGGCGCGGGTGCTGGGGGCAAGGGACGGCCCAGTCCCGGCCAGGTTCTCATCTTGACTCTGCCCGGGTCCGTTTGGAATTTGTGCTGTGACCGAGATCGGGGGGTTGCGGGAGTGGAGGGTCTTCTACTTGGCAGCCTGGAAAGAGAACTGCCCGGAGAGGGGCGGCGATCCCGCCCCGTCCCGCGCGAGGCTGGAAGGCTGCGACCTGGAGAACGAGAGCGCGCGCCATGGCTGCCGGAGTGTTCCGGCCGCGTGGTGGGGGTTCCTGGTGCGCCCGAAGGATTGGACCGGACTTGTCCCTGGGACACGTTAAGGGCTCACCTTCCCTTCATTTGTTGCTTGTTTTTATCGACTTTTCATTTGCTTAAAATCTGTCCGAAGGTCGTTGCGTAGAAAAGCCATCCTTGGGTTTAACAATACATGTATTATACCTGAGGTTACCACGATCTTATCAGACAAATATATTTTTCAATGTATTTGAAACAAAGACCCCAAACAAAATTTATAATATGTAAGCAACCATAAAAGTGCTAAAGATATGAAGAGGTAAATGAATATTTCTAAAGAAAATAACCTGAGGCATTGCCTTTTTAACACAACATTCCTAGAGAATTGTCTACATGCTTGAAAATACGTTAGGTTGTAGTAAAAAATGAGGTGTTGAGAAAGTGACCAGACAAAGGTCACTCCGTATGTGCACAGGAGGGCTTAGGATAATAAGCAAAGGGTCAACAAAACTACAGATTGTGACTGACATGTTCCCGGAAGGGAATAAACACAGTTTAAGATATGAAAGAACTGAAGTGAGACTAAGGCTGAAGAGGTATTTAGCCAGAGGCAGAGAGTGGAAAGACAGAAAGAAAAGAAATCAGATTGGTTTCCTGGACAGATCAAAGTTTTTTGGTTTTCTTTTTGTTTGTTTGTTTGTTTGAACAAACAACAAGGAATAATTATAAGAAGGAATACAAGTAACCAGAGAGTTAGTTTGTAGATGAGGACCCCCAGGGAAGCTGAGAAGGGAGTAGGAACTCTCAGGAGGGAAAGGAGGTTGCTGAGGTGTGCAAGCTTCAGTCCTGTAAGCTGGAACCCTTGCAGGAGGGACCCCCATCGTGCTATGGTGAGCCGCCTTCCTCATTCAGTAACTTCCATGCAGTTAATATTCTATTACTGTCATCAGAGTCAGAGAATACCTTGAAAATAAAATGCGTTGAAGTCACACAGGCCGTTATGATCAGAAAATAATGTTGGTATCTTAAGGTTATCTTCAGCTTATCTGAACAGCATCATTAAATAGTGCCTTGGAAGAGAACCGATCCATCAATGGTTAGAACTTCACCCTTTGGCAGATGCTTGAGTATCTGAGTATCGCAAGATCAGGTCACTTCCTTAGTGGCCATGACTTTGCATAAATATCTTCGTGTGTCCGAGTCTCAGTTTTCTGGTATATGCAGTGGGACTAACAGTATCAATTTTGCAGTATTTTAATGAAAATGAGAAATAGTGGAATTATAAGTAGACACTTGGTAAATGTTGGAGGGTTTTGCTTTTTGTTGTTTATCATAGAATTTTAAGGCTTTTCAGAACATTAGCAAGTACAATTTTATGTTAGCTGAGAACTAAGATTTTTTTAATATATGAACACAGATTGTGCTAGTAAGTCCTCCAAAAGAAGTCATTGGATCTATGTTCCACCTCTCCCATACTGCACATCTGCACTGAGTCACAGCATTAATAACTGAGTGGAGTGCTGTAGCATATTTACTGTGCCTGGTCCTATAATACAACTATATTTTCCAGTGTATTTGGAACAAGACCTAAAAACAAATTTTTAGAAAATAATTAGTTAAAAGTATCAAAAGGGCCGGCCCGACAGCTTAGCAGACTAAAGCACCTGCATAGGCAGAGCATAGCAGCCCAGGTTCCTGGGCTTGCTGCCCCCAGGGCATGCTGAGATGGCAATCCAGACTGGGCGTGGTGGCGTGTACCTGTAAACCCAGCACTTGGGAAGCTGAAAACAGGAGAATCACTACTAGTCTGATCTATGTAGTGAGACCCTTAACATACTGTAGACCCAGCCCTAAAAATACAGAAATAAATAAGTCAAAATACAAAGTGGTAATTATTGGCATTTATGGAAAACATAACCTTGGGCATTCCTGTACTAACAAAACACTCATCTGTAGGAGTTCCACTATGTTAGAAAATGTTACAAGTTGAAATGACACACTAGATTAGTGACAAAACTGCATATTGCAGGAACCACTTATATCTCTTTCATCTTATCATGAAGTCCTTTGAAAATGAAACATTATATTGTCTGTTATTTAGCTTTTGAATTTTCAGAATTTTTTCTTTATTTCAAATAAGGCATACAATTATTTCACTTATGCGTAAAAAGGCTTCATGAGAAATGTCCCTATCTTCTACTACATTGTTTTAGACTCAGATTTCTAAAGATCAAATCAGGATTGAGGTGAAGCTGAAAGCCCCTATGTATGTACTATATTTTAGAAAGGAATTTTGCATTATTTTTATATTATGTTATTTATAGCTCTTCTATAAATCTAGCATTTTATATCTGTAGGCACTAAAGCTATCCTGGGACAAACTGTCACATCTAAATATCTTGAAATATTCTCATACTAGAAATATTTATGGAATGTCTAGCATTTGCAAGTCCCTGAGGAGCTAGGATACAATAGAAAGGAAAGGCAGACTTGTTCCAGCCCTTGTCTGTCCAGAAGAAAAACTTTTTATAGATATTTAATCCTGCAATGTCTATAATATGGCTGATAAATGCTTGGAAGGAAAATATAGTCTGGTTTGAACATATATTAGAGAATTTACATTTTCCAAGTAAGGAAAAGGGGTAGGGTAGGAAAGCCTTCTCTGAGAAAAACTTTAAACTGATTCCTCTGAATAGGCAGAGGGCCTGGCCTGGAAGAGAGTTTTCCAGGTCCTCAGTCAGAGGCAGCCTGTAGAGAACACAATGAAGACAGCCAAGAGGCCTGGAAGGAGAGAGTTGTTAGCTTTGTGTGCAATTACAGAGAGGGTCAAAGGGCAGGTCATGCAGCTCCTTGGAGATCTTCAAGTTTAGACTTTGCCTGAAAGCAAGTGAATGACCATTCATCAGATCACCTCAGTCAACCCTGAAGACATTATTAGGTACCTCCAGCAAACTACTTCAACTACATGGCATCCAACTTGAGTTTCTGATTTCGCCCTTTGCATGCTTCTCACCCTCTTCTAGCCTTGGACACCTGTTTTTCTCATGATTTGTCAGACTGCCTTGCTCCTTAATATCCATCTACTTCCCCCAGGTTAAGTTCTGTAGTCCACATCTCCAATAACACATTTCCATTTCAAAAACCCCACTGCTGGACAGACCTGCTCCATTGTCTTCTGCCCCCAGGCAGCCTCTTGAATGATGTCATTATAGATTCATCTTTAGTGACCTCAAATAGATTCTTAACTATATACAAGCACAGATCTTGCACAAATCACCCAATTGGTTCGCTGGGGCCTGAAGTTTTTACAATTTAAGAAGTCCTTTTCTAAAAAGGGATACAGAGGGATTGGGGAACAGCTGAGTGGTAGAGCACTTGCCTAGAATCTCCTCTATTCACTCCCCGGCACTGAAAAAAAGAAAAAGAAGAGAAAAAAATATTTGGTTGTAAAATTAGGATGAACATTTAGAATGAGAAAATAAATTACCCACAAACTGCTGACGCCTGAGAGGCAGATGCCTCTTCTAAGAGCTACAGGCAATTTACAGAATCCTTACATGTGTAAACTCCTGAGTACATCTTGGTGCTTATTCCTGTGTTGTTGGCTAGTTCTCCATTGGTATGATAAAGTATGTGAAATAAGTAAGTTAAAGAAAGAAAGCTTTATTTTGACTCCTGACTGCAGTGGCTTTGGTCCATGGCTTGCTGGTCCCATCATCCATGGACCTGCCTGGGCAGCCCCTTGTCTGTGGCAGGACAGAAGCTTCAAGGTGGAAAAGAGTGATGAAAGAAACCTGCTTAATTTATGGCAGCCAGCTGATAAGAGAAAAGGGAGGGGAGAAAGCCTTCAGCCTGTGTTGGCTTAGTCTGCTTTTGTCCCATGTAGCTCTCTCCCTATTGGATGATGCTTCCCATATTCAGAGGGTTCTCGCCATCAGTTTGCTGCCTATTTGTCCATCATCTCTAGAAGCACCCTCATAGAGATGACCAGAAATGAGCCTTACTAATTTTTCCTAGTGTGTTTCCCAACTGAAACACACTAACTCTCCCTGCTCTCTTTTCTGTACTTTCCAGGAGTGAGCAACAGAATACCCTGAAGTGAAGCCTCATTAACTTCACGAATATTTTTACTATCTTACCAAATAGTTCAGGTAGGGTTAGTCTGTTCAGGCTGCTACAGCAAAATATTACTTTAGTCTGGGCAACTTGTAAACAATAGAATTTTATTGCTCACAGTTCTGGAAACTGAAAAGTCCAAGATCAAGTCCCCAGAAGGTGAGTATCTGGAAAAGACTTGTTCTTTGCAAATGGTACCTTCTGGCAGTTTCTTCATGTGGCAGAAGGGAGGAAGCTTGCTTGGGTCATTTTTATAAAAACATAACTCCTACTGGGCACGGTGTACACACTTC